AACAAGATCACAAAAAATGATTTTTTGAAATGCTTTGAGGATTGGAAAAAGCGTTGGCACAAGTGCATTATATCCGAGGGGGATTACTTTGAAGGAGATAAAATAAAAATTGATGAATAAATAAATATTTTTTGAGAAAAATAAAAATTCACCTTACTTTTTGATCACATCTCGTATTTGGCCCGCGTGTTTTTCTTTAAGAGAAGCGCGCGCGTCAATAACATGCAGTGTCGGAGCGGCTGTACTCTTTATTCGCAGAGTCTATACATGTACGCTATCGATTTTCATAGAGTACGAGGGATTAGTAATTCATTCCGTTCAGTCGCACAAAAAGTCGCGATATTAAGCTGGCTAGCTTACCTTATTAATGGTCGTATAATGAGCGAGAAAGAAGAGGGTTCGTTAGCGATCCCTTGTCGGAAGTAACTACTCAAGGTTAAGTCAACTGACTCGAGGTTTCGCCCTCGATGGCGAAACTCCTCACTCACGCTCACTCACACACACTCAGTTTTCGCGAGCGCTGAGATGTCACTTCTTGTTCGAAAAATGGCTCGCTCACTCCTTACTTTCGTTGGAAACTTTGGGAAAAAATCCTGGCTTGTTGTTAAGCGGCTGAATGTTCGGATAGCTAATCCTCGACTGGTTCATTTATATTCACGCGCGTTCCGTCACGTCTCGTACCGAGTTCCTTTATTTCATTTTCCCCAACCGCTAGGTGCTACCCTTGCAGGCAACCGCATGGTTGAGGTGATAGCGCTAATAAGACGTTTACCGTCACAGCTCTTAAAAATCTTCCCAGTTCTCTGTGAATTCTTTCCATGATATTACTTTGTGGATGACGTATACTAGAGAATATTAATTTTATATTAGCAGATGAAAGTTTCTCTTTAAATACTTTTGCAGTAAACTGAGAACCGTCGTCACATAAAATTGCTAGTGGTTTTCTATAGTTAGGAATATAATGTTCAAAAATCTTTTTTATAGTTGTATACGTTGTTGATCTTTTTATAGGAAACATAACAACAAATTTACTAAAAGAAACTATAGTTGTTAAAGTATATTTATCTCCGCCACGTGAAGTACATAAAGGACCATAAAAGTCTATTGATAATAAATTATTTGGTTTTTCAATAAATATTGGCTTCATTATAGATGATATTATTTTTGTATAATACTTTGTACGCTGGCATAAATCGCAACGATCTATCGTTTCAGCGACTATTTTACGAAGTTTATAAATATAAATATTTTCCTGTAACATCTTCGTAATTTTTATTGATCCAATATGACCATAGATTTCATGTATTTCTTGGATTAATACTGGAATTATTATTTCAGGTAACAATATTTATTGTTAATTTTATTAAATCCTTTTTATACACTAAGTTGTTATTAATTATATATTTATTATCAAAATTTTCCTTATTTCTTAAATTTTGTATGTAGTTATCCTTTTGTTGTAATAAATCCAGATTTTTGAAATGTTTAATTAAATGTCAAGAAGGATTTTTCGTCAATGTCGCGATTTGAATTTCATTGGTGTAGTTGTTGCTGCAGTCCGTTATATGTCTAGATAGGAACTCAGCGGCTTTATTTTTGTAAATACTCGTACATAATGTTGTAGTCTTGAAGAAACAAGCACTATCTCACTAATCTGGTATTCGTAAATTTACAAATAGTTAAAAATTTCAACGCTTCATGATCTGTAAGTATAATTATTTCTCTTGTACCTCTTAAATATGTTTCCAATTTTTGACATGACCAAACTATAGCTAAAAGTTCTTTTTCAGTCGTCAAATAATTCAATTCCGCGCCTTTCAAAGTTCTAGATATAAATTTTATAACTTCTTCATCGCCTTCACTATTTAATTGTGACAAAGCAGCAGCTATAGTATGATAACTAACATCAGTTGTTAATATATAAGGCTTACTAGGATCAGGAAAAATCAAAGTAATAGTATCGATAAAGATCTTTTTTACATTGTTAAAAGCTGTTTCATGCTTAGGTAACCATTGATAGCATTTGCTTTGTTGCAATAAATTCATTAAATATTTCAGCATAATTTTTTGCTAATTTTGTATAAAAATTTACAAATTCAAGAAAGCTTTGCAAGCTTTTTAAGTTTTTTAGAGCTTTGTAATTTTGAATTATTTCTAATTTACATTTTTGAGCTTTTATACCGTATGGAGTGATAACATGTCTTGAAAATTCAATTTCTTCTTGAACTAGTATAAATTTTGCAAATTTCAATGTAAATTATCTCTACAACAGCGTGTAAACAGTGTACGTAAATGATGTATATATTCATTGAATGTTTTAGAAATGCATAATATATCATACAAAAACGGTATTATAAATTTTTTTAAATCTCCAAATGATAAATTTAAAGCTCTTACTAATACTGCTGTAATAGTGCATGGACCGAAAGGTACTACATTAAATTCGTATGTATTACCTTCGATAATCAATGCCGTATATCTTTTACTTTCTTCTTCGAGAGGAATTTGCCAAAAACTACTTGTCAAATCAAAACTAGATAAATAGATTACTTCGAAACAATGTTGAAAAATATCATTCATATTGTAACGGGGTGGGTTAGCTAGTACAATAAGAATTTGTTGTAGCCCAAACTCCCACGATGCAGAGCTAACTCCCACTCCGTTAAACACGTATGGTTATACGTGTATTCGCCTTTACTTTGATACTTTTGTTTTAGTGTCTTCTTTCTAACAGAGTTGATCTCACCTTAAGTCACCTGACTTGTGACACTTGATCTATTTTAGGTGTGAGTGACCTAATGCTTATACCACCTAATCCCCTAGATAAAGTCAGTTTAAAATTTAATCCGTAATAGATTCGTTAAACTAATAGGAAACGAAAATAACGTAATGCGGCGAATAAAATTAATAACGTTTATGACTAGAAAAATTACAGTCTTTGATGAGCCGAAAGACTAACTAACCATGCGAATAGGATTTTACAATTATAAACAATAATTCGGGGAGAGAGAGATAATTCGAAACTTTGCCGCGAAAACTAATGCTCGGCGCGAATACAAAATAACAGTAGCGATAGACAAAATACACTCATTAGTATTTTGTCGCGCAATAGAAAGAGAGGGCACCTACCCTGTGGTGCAATTACGACGATCAGGCTTGTTGAAGTGAATTAACACTGCTCCTCAAATCAGCTGCGATGCCTCACTCGTTGGAAAATTATTGTTCACTCCAACGTATGCTGCAGAAGAACTCCTGCTGATGTGATACTGTTGCTGCGATGCTGCTTATAATCACTCGCGCACGTTCAAAAATCGAGGAAACTTGGTATCAGCGAAAAACGCCGGAAAAACTGTGTAAAAGTATTGGCGGTACTCTCGCAAAAGCAGCTGAGGCTTAACTGCCTATTTTCAAACTCTCGCGTGCCCTCTCTCTCTCTCTTAGTCGTTCGAACTAGCATCGTGAGTGTACGAATCGCGAACGGATCGATTAATCAAATCGACTACCGTTGCACTAATAATTTTATTGCGTTTCTTTCAATTTAATCTTCGCTAACGAATTTATTATCATCTCAGAGTTTATTTTATAATTGAGTTTGAATGAATTTGTCTATAAAAATATTCACAATTGAATTTATTTTGAATGAATGTGTTTGAACTTAATATTAAAATCCTGAATAAACAAGCTTCAACGCGTTATTCAAGCATTATTGAACTTCCTCGTTTGTAAAAATGTATTCGCCTCATGATTAGTATGTATTATAATTTTCTTGTTCTTTTTAAATATAAATGCAATTACTTCAACGACCATATTATCGCACTTAGCTCGTATTTCCCTGGTAAAATAGTTGATATCGCTACCTTTTCATGTACAAGTCCCAACGCAAATTATTTGTTCTTTTCCTTCATCGATCATTTGAAATTAATATAGCTTCTATCATGTAATCATTTGCATCCGTTGTCAAAATAAATGGTTTATTCATATTTATATATACTAACATAATATCTTTTTCGAAACTGAAACTGTTCCTACTGTTCTTGATGCTCTCATTGTTTCCTCTGAAGATTTGCTGATATAGTAGCAGCTAGCTAACCGCTGGCGGATCCGTTGCTGAGGTCAGGGCAATCTGGTTCTCAATAAGAGAAAAAATAAGGCCGCACTTCAAAATACCGCAGCATTCTGAACGCATATTCTTAATTGCAGTCACGTCAGCGTCCTCCTTAAGAGAGAGTGAGTACCTATCCAACGCTCGCACGCACAATGCCCGGGCCTCCTCATGACCGCCGGTGGATGCACGCACAACGGATAACGGAGCTATCAGGCGCGCTCAATTTTATGTATATTGAGCCCTGCTTTCTGTACTCTCTCTTTCTCTTTTTTCTTTCTACACATCAATATAAGTAACGTGGTTTATTATTGCATTTATTCGCTATGATTATTATTGAATCTCGATGTTCAACCACACATCATACAAAGTTCATACTATTTCTAAATACAATCAAGTTCTTATTTCGTCTTTCTCTCTGTTTTGCCCTCATAAGCCTGCATCCTGGTAGTTTAGTCTACCTGGAAGCAATTATACGTAATGATTATAATGTCAGTAATAAAAGCTATCAATAGAAATATACTTCCTATTGATAACTTTTATGATGTCTCTTGTTATGTGTAACAATTATGTGAGTGTTTAGAATACCTATTACATGCATCGGCAATTGACGAAAGACGCTGCCTCTGAGGGCAGACATCTGAGTTAAAGACGTGCATGTAACACTTTCTGAATCGAGTATTAATACAGCCCTCTAGGTTTTGATACTTATTGCTTACATAATACAAGTTCATAAAATAAACCAATATGAATTATTTTATATATTTATGTTTATGTATAATACAAACCAATGATTATTTCATGTAAAGATGATTTATATTAATTTATTCGTACAAAAAATCATAAATACAATATTAACTCATAAAATATATATAACCAATGATCATTTCATTTTCAGAAATATCAGCACCTATTGTTTATATTGGTGATATTAATAGTTATTATTTAAATTCAGTAAATAACTCAACTATCCTTGTCGTAGGTGGACACAATATTGAACAAAAATTAGTGCACATTCATTCAACAAATCTTCTTTTATTTTTAACTGATACGAGGTATGTACATATATATATATATATATATATATCTAATCAAAGATATAAGTAAAATAACAATATATGCAATACAGAGACACATATTAAATTATTTAATTAATTCTTTCGTATCGATGTAATAAATAGGTAATATCACACGTATTTTGGGATTTGTGCGTATGGTGTACTGTTTGATTGGCGGATCAAGCCGAAAAGAGGAATAGATATAACCATTCCAGTACTTCATTATATGGATGGGAAATCATGTCTCTCTTGCACTTACAGTAATTATGATACATCGGTGATAATTAAAATCTTTACTCCTTCTACTCTCTCTCTCTCTCTCTCTCTCTCTCTCTCTCTCTCGCCTTCAGGGTAATCGAAGCTATCGTGCATTTACTTTAAGTCATCAGTCTCTCCTTCATGTTCTATCTTCTCACAAGCTGTCTATGTTTCAGTTTCCTCGGCACTTCAACACATAAAACCAAGCCAGAATGAGTAACAGTAATCACACTCACAGCTTGGTAATAGTATCAGCTCGGTGGTTAAAAGCGACAAGTAGCGGAATCAGCTCAAAAAGACCATATAAATGAATAATGATAATGACTTTCCAACAAGCACTATAGCTTTTTTAACTAGTATACGCAACATTTTTAGCCATTTTAACATAGTCTTCGAACTAATGTTCATGGATAAAATTTTTTCACAACCTTACATAAATAATGTTATAAAAAATTCCAAAACTTGATGCATTTATGTACGAAGGAAATAATGAATACCGATAACGAATCTCCAATTGTCTTCTTTATTTTCCCTACAGGCGATGACTCCATCTCTATCTCTGCTTATGTTCCGCTTGCAGAGTTTCTGTTTCTTTCCCACGTAATAAGTTAAACGATGTAACGTTTTAAGCGAATGTTTCTTTACACAATACTCTATGATTCATTTTATCCGGTACAACCACTGGACATACCCCTTCTATCTTCCTACAGGCCAAGGAGCCTGGCTTTGTCCTCGCATCTATCATTGTCGCCGGTTGCTAAGCAGCCGTGCACTGCGCCGTGTTATTCGTCGCCTGAACTATTCGCCGCCACTTCAATCTCACATTTACATCCAGTCAATGATCACTCAAACACCATCGCGGATGCACCCGAGTGGTTCAGCCAAGAGGCCCAACTAAATGCCAGTCGTCATCAATAGATGTGTGATTTGTAGTCTCAACTGCATGTAGAACGTTAGTTTAGAGATGACCTCTACGCTATCACGGATGAGCCTAAACTTCTTCGTCCACGGCCTTTCCCTTGATTATAAACCCTTTTTCAAAGGGTACCCTTTTTCAAGCAGCCCCGTCATTACTTCTTGCGCTTGGCTTTGGCGGGATACACAATCTCCCGCATATCATACACACGCGTGAATAGAGCCCTTCCCCCATCTCTAGCCAGAACTCACTTTTCCCCTCATCGTCAGCAGTCCCCTGGCACTGCTCGTCGGTCACTCTTTGCTCGCTTCTTCACCTTTCTTATAGATTCTTCCTCGACCCGTGATAGGATCATTCGCTTCTCCCTTAAACTGAAGGAGCATACTGCGCAATCAATTTTTGGCTCTGGTGGCCCTGTGAGGGTCTATCTTTGCTCCGTATGGTCGAGGCCGGTATTTGACCTTCTCATGAAAACGAGAAATATCAGCGCTGAAATTAGCTACGCCTGGCCCATGGTTCGTAACCAGGGTGTTCTGTAGGCAGATCCAGCGCTCTGAGCTCATTCCTAGTATGACTGAAGCTTACCTCTGCGGGCTCGCCCCCCTTCAACGCGTGACTCCACCTGTTGCGAGACCTCTTTTTCAGCTAATCTAAAATCCTAGACGACCTTCGCCCTCACCTTCTCTCCCTCTTCAATCTAACAATACTTCTGTTTGATATTTCCCCACATAAAACAATTTAGCTAAGTCAAATTTGCTCTCATCTATCCAATCCTCCTGCTTCATTGTTGTGCACGTGAATATTTATAAATGGCCTAAACATACCCTCACATTTTTCCCTCCTTGAAGCTGAAGTCCAGGTACCGTATGATCCAGGTCCGTTGGCCTAATAGCGACCTTCGAAACTAAACTTAATGAATTTGTACCGGATGCTCACCTCTCTTTCTCAAACTATAATTTTGTACTGCTTAATCGTGTGGGCAGAGAGGGTGGGGCCGTTATATTCTATACGCGGAATTCCCTAATGATTAAAATATTGGCAACGTCTGATCGTACATTCCACAACACTCCGAAATTCATAATAGCTGACATTCATCTCAATAATCATACCAAATTACTTTTTGCCGTTATTTATCGTCGTCCCTTAGCTCCCATCCCTTCGTTTTTCTTCGATTCTATCTCTATTTTCCTTCCTCATTATAATGACGTTCTCATGACAGGCGATTATAATTCCGAGCTCTCCTCCGATCTTCTCCATGTCCGCGCTCCTCGTGACCAGCTGATCTCTCTCGTCTTAAGAGTTGTTTCCACCGAGCTAAATCCTAAAATTTTCTCAGTCTCACTCCTCTTTTCTTCCCTATCACGACTTCATTGCTCTCTCAATTTCATGCTCATCCATTAAAACACTCCTCCTCCCGCCCTCATCATCACATTGATCTTTCTGCCCTTAACTTGACAATCACAACCGGTTTTTCAGCTTCCTCTCTCAATCTTCCGCCAGGTTCTCCTCTCTGTCGTTTGATCAACTTGAGACTTTTTTCACCAGCACAGTACTCGCCCCCTTTGATCAACTTGTTTAACTGCGTAAGGTTGCCATTCCGTCAAAGGAAAAGCCCTCAGTTTCTGACAAGCTGCGAGTCAAGATACGCACGCATGACTTCCTTTTTACCTGTTTCCAAGTACAAACAATTTTCAAAGTAAATTTATTTAAATTATTTAAAAATATACGAATAGATTTAGGAAACATCGATACCTGTAGAAGAATTACTATTAAATTGAATGGCAGACTGATTAAAGCATATAAAAATATACTTCATTAACTAAAGCTTATAGCCGTATGTATACTTTATGCCGTATTTTACTTCCTTAACTAAAGAGCGAAGGTACCCATCAACTGCGTGAATTGCAACATAAACTATGCACTTCTAGACGTAATCAACAAGCTAGGGATTTTATTGATGTTTCGTTTATTCACTGACTTATGATCATTCCTGGAAAAGTCCACAAAGTCTTCGAGATTAGTGTACAGAATATTTATTCTTAATTGATATATGTTTTTAATTATAATCTTTTAGAATATTTTTAATTAGAACTCCAAATAACTACTTTTTGACAAAACTGTTTACAAGAGCACGTGTTTAAACTACATAGTATCATCAAAATCCGGTAATTAGCACATTGCAGAATTGGAGTCATGAAGGATTCTGCGATGTTATGTAAAAGAAGGTTAGGTCAGTATCGGAACGTGATTGCGCCAATGACAATTTGATTTGAACATCTTCTCTAGCCAAACAATAAACCTATATTCAACCATCAAATTCAGACTAATTGAAAACAAAATTCCCCTTTTAGAGACCCGTAGACAGATAAATGTTGGCATTCTCCAAACACAATAAATAACCCCTAACACTGACGGATCGGACATTCTCGGAGAGTATGCTATAAACGCCAGTTTGATACTGTGCTCCTAATCCGCGATTGATCACATAAATGAAATTGTACAATTTACCTTTTGACAATTCTGAAATGTAATCAAACCAAAGATGAACCAATGTTCTTCAGCCATCGTATTCAGTGCAATGGAAGGCAAAGAATTTCCATTACAGTTACGTAGAAGATGAAATTTTTCAGTTCTTTAATTCCGGTATTAAGCGCAATTTTAACAAGAACAAACATTATAAAGCTATATGTCCACGTACTCTATCCAAACGATAAACAGGTATTCAAACATTATCTTTAGTATAAAAGAATGAAAAATCCTTAGAACACACTGCCGTAAGCGACGTAATCTTTGTATCCTCCAAATTAGGTGATATGCACTCATATGAACGTGAATAATGTACGAGGTCTGTTCAAAAAGTATTGTGAATTTTGTATGTTTCCAAAAATTATTTATTTATTCATGAATATCTATTTTATCTCCTTCAAAGTAATCCCCCTCAGATACAATGCACTTCTGCGAAAGTTTTTTCCAATCCTCGAAGCACTTAAAAAATCATTTTTTATGATCTTGTTTAGCTCCTCCTTCGATGCCATTTTTATCTCCTCAATCGTGGCGTAGCGTCGTACTTTCGTGGGCCTTTACAGTTTTGGGAACAGGAAAAAGTAACAGGGAGCCAAATCTGGGCAATACGGTGGCTGCGGCACCATCACTGTGTTGTTTTTGACCAAATATTCGCGCAAAAGCAACGATGTGTGAGCAGGAGCGTTATCATGGTGCAAAAGTCAGTTCTTGTTCTTCTACAAATCCGGACGTTTCTAGCTAATTGCTTCGCACAAATTGCGTATAACTTGTAGGCAATATTCCTTATTGATCGTACTACCCTCTGGCAAGAACTCATGATACAACACGCCCCTGTAATCGAAGAAAACTGTAAGCAAAACCTTCACGTTCGACCGAACTTAGCGGGCTTTTTTCGGTCTGGGCTCATACGGCAGCTTCCATTCAGACGATTGAGTTTTGCTTTCCACATCATAACCATAATTTATCAACAGTTATGATCGTTTGAAGCACATTTAGGTCGTCACGGGCCGAGTCCAATATCTCCTAAGCAATGTTAACGCGATGCTGTTTTTGATCGAAATTGCGCAGTTTTAGCAGGAATTTTGCGGCGACCCAACTTATGCCCAAATCATTGGTTAACATCGAATGGCATGAGCCAATCGATATGTTTAAGCTCTGAACTGCTGAACTGCCTTTTGCGAATCCCGATCTAGCCTTTTATACCATAGGCTGATGTGCCCCTTCCTGTGTTTTTGCTGAATTAATATGCGATGAGTAATATATTCGCGGAAATATTATGGAGAACGTGCTTAAACTAATC